CCTTCTAAAGAGCTTAGAGCTGGACAAAGACCAGAGGCTTTCAGAGCTTTAGTTGCACTGGGGACATGCTGAGACACCCAAAAAAGAAATGCCCTGACTTCTCTAGGAGGGGCTTTCCCAGCTTGGGAGTGGGCTGTGTAAGGAATGGGAATGCAAGGAAACACATCCCTGTGTGTGGATGACCATGGCTGAGGGATGGTTTGCAGGTTCCTCACTGCTGCTCCACAGGGTTTGCCAGCCTGGTTCTGCTGGCACGGTCTCCTGTGTGCTGTCAGCATTCCCAACATCCTCCTGCTGCACCTCATCCACATCCCACACTGTCTCTGCCTAAAATATTGGCTGTTCCAAGCTGGAGTGACTTTACCTGGATATGCCAGCACCATCGAGCTCCAGAGCTCCATCCACCACACCCAACGAGGTTCAAGACAAAACTGCCCCTGGTGGAGACCACAGAGCTGAAGGTGTGAAGCCAAAGCCACCTGCTCTGACCTATAATCCTCTAAAGGCAGAGGGAATATCCAAACCTGGGATTTCCTCTTGGAAGTGGATGCACAAATAACCCCCTCCAAACACCAGCCTCCCCCTCAAAGAGTGTTTAGGTTGTTGAGGAAGAGATGGGGAAGTTCATGCAGCCTCTCCCCCACCTGGCTCATATCATGCAGGAATGGATGCCAGGAGCTGTCCCAGCTCTTGAGATGCTACTCAGCTCCCTGCTGTGGGAATGGGATCAGCCCTGTCCCAGGCATTAGCAATAGCCCAGTTTCTGCTAGGGATACCACTTTCACTCTTCCCATCTTACATTTTAGGATGGATTGTCCTTAAGAGCAGTTGAAGTTTAACATATCCCTAAAAAGTAATTTTGGTTGCTGCATCTTTGCCCCTGGCAGAAAATTCCCCAGGTGCAGAGCAGACAGCAAAATTTTTAATTTTATTTTTTTTCCCCCACAGAAACGCAGAATCATTGAGGTTGGAAAAGACCTCCAAGATTATTGAGTTCAACTTCTGTCCAATTACTGCTTTGTCACCCAGCCCAGGGCACTGAGTGCCACTTCCAGGTGTTCCTTGGACACCTGCAGAGATGGGGACTCCAAACCTCCATGGGCATCCCCTTCCAAGTCCTGCCCACCCTTACAGTGAAGAAATTCCTCTGATGTCCAACCTGAAGGTCCCTGGCATAGCTTGAGGCCATTTCCTCTTGTCCTGTCCCTGTTCCCTGGGAGCAGAGCCTGACCCCCACCTAGCTACAGCCTGTCCTCAACAACGTGGTGGTGGATCCAGCAGGAAAGATGGGCACATGTTCTCCTGAGGTTCCACACCCTCCTGGCCTCATGTTTTTTGAGCTCCAGTTTTTGTCAAAACAAAAACATATCCCATTACAAAAATGCATTTTTATGGATTAAAACTGGTATTTACTGAAGAAAAACGCTTTCTCACATGAAAAAAATTACCTTCCTAACAAAAAAATGTTGGTGGGCAGTGTAACAGAGTGAAGGAGTAAAGGTGATTTGGTCCATTGTTTTCTGGGGTAAAAAGAGAGGAGAAGGAAACCTGAGAGACGAAGCATGTAAAGTTTTACATTAAATGATAAATGATCCCACCAAATATTTAGAAATTGTTCCCTCTGAGGGAGGTGAGGCCCTGGCACAGGGTGCCCAGAGAAGCTGTGGCTGCCCCTGGATCCCTGGAAGTGCCCAAGGCCAGGCTGGACAGGGCTTGGAGCATCCTGAGATGGTGGAAGGTGTCCCTGCCCATGGCATGGAGTAGAACAGGATGGGCTTTGAGGTCCCTCCCAACTCAAACCATCCTGGGATTCCATGATTTTATGATTTCTTCTTCCCTCCAGAACTTGACACATGATGGGATGGAGCCTTTGGACCCGGCAGAACCCAAGACACAGGGATGGAGAGTGTCAAAGTGAAATGAGATGAGTTTTTATATGGCTGCACCAAGGTCAAAAGATCTTCTTCTGACCTTGACCCCTGGCTGGGAATAGGCTGAGGAATTTGGTGCTGGGTTCCTGCAATCCTGTTGGTGATCATCCTTCCCTGGGCCACACCGAGTCCCTCCACAAGCCAAGCAGAGACCAAATAAAGCCACATTAATCCCAGCTCCATTAGAAACACAGAAAGTAAATAAATGCTGTTTTCAAATGTGGAAAAAGAAAAAAAAAATCAATAGAGAAAGAAATATTATTTTTAATCTTCTAAGAGGTTTTTACAAACAACAGGGAGGGGAAAAATTGAAAGCCATGAAAAAAGACTTGCCAATGTCCTTTTAACCTTTATTTATTATCACTCAGTCCACATCAGCCCCTGACTGCAAGATAATTTGGAATTTCATTTTAATTTCAATGTATCACATAATTCAACACAGCTTTCCAGTTTTTTAGTTTTTTTTTTTTTTTTTGTACTGAAAACTTTAAAAATCTCTCTATAGGAAATGCATCTTAAAAAAAAAAGTACCCCACAACATAACCCTTCTGCAGCAGTTACTTAATTTATAACATGAAAAGGGTTTGTGCTAAAATATGATAAAAATAAAATCAACAAACTTCAAAAAAGGAAAATTCCTTAATAACATGCTTTAGCTTGAAGGGTGCCTGCTCCTCTGCTTTTCTCTGCCTTTGTCTGCTGCTTGCATTAGAGTGGAGTTATTTTGAGCCTGGCTTTTCGGGAGCCTTGTTCTGAGCCTTGTTAGGATGTGTTTAATAGCTGGGTCTGGCTGTGCTGGGGGAGCTCAGGAGGAGCCTGGGCAGGCTGGGGGATGAAGGATTGTTCCAACAAGGAACAGGCAGAGATAGTCTGGCAATTCCCATGGGAATCGTGCTCCAGAACACTCTAATTCCTGTAAGATCTCCCCTGGGAGATGCCTCTGCTTTCCCAGGTCCAGGTCTTGTGCTGTCCTCAATGTCACTTGTCCAGGGTGACAGCGAGGTCTGTCCTTCCCTCCCAACACCTCCAAGCAGCAGCAAACAGGCTGCAGGTGCTCTGGATGCTGCTCCTCTTAGAGTGATGGAATATCCTGAGTTGGAAGAGGTCCACGAGGATCATCCAGCCCAGCTCCTGGCCCTGCACAGACACCCCAACAATCCCACCCTGTGCATCCCTGAGGGTGTTATCCAAACACTCCTGGAGCTCTGGCAGCCTTGGGGCTGTGCCCATTCCCTGGGGAACTGTTCCAATGCCCAGGACCCTCTGGGGGAAGAACCTTTTCCTAATATCCAAACCTGACCCAGCTCCAGCTGTTTCCTTGGGACACGTTCCTGGTCACAGAGAGCAGAGATTGGAGCTGCCCTTTGGGAGGAGCTGCAGATCAGGGTGAGGTCTGACCTCTGTCTCCTCCTGAAAGAGCCAAATGGGCTCATCCATTCCTCATATGGCTGCTCCTGGAGATGCTCCACCATCTTCATAGCCCTCCTTTGGATGTTCTCCAATAGCTTTAGGTCCTTCTGATATTGTGGCACCCAAACTTGCCCCAGCACTCAAGGTGAGGCCACCCCAGAGCACAGCAGAGAGGGACAATCCCTTCCCCTGCCTGGCTGGCAATTCCTGATTCTCCCCAGGACAGGGATGTCCCTCCTGGTTCCAGGACACTCCCAAATGAGATCCAACTGGCCATGGGCCAGGACCCTCAGGTCCCTTCCCACAGCTGCTCTCCAGTCCCTCCTTCCCCATTCTGTATTTCCAGGGCAGCCAGGTCCCAGCAGCAGGATCCAGCATTTGTCTCTGTTCAGAGTAACTCACTTGGTGACTGCCCAGCTGCCTCACTTGCCCAGGTCTCTCTGCAGGGCCTCTCTGCTTCCCAGGGAATCAACAGCTCCTCCTGGTTCAGCACCAGAGGCAAATATCCTCAGCATATCCCCTTAGGGACCACTGCCTCCACAAGGCTTCAAGGGCTCAGGACAGCCAGGAGAGCATTCAGTGATCATCTGCATCCATATCTCAACCCATACAAAAAAAAAAAACAAACTTCAAAAGAGGAGATTGAGATGAGGTGGGAGAGAAGAAACTTCTTGATACAAATGGTCCCATTAATGGATGTCTCAGCCTTGGGCTCATTTGTTGTCCTGGAGCTCCTTCAATTGCATCATTTTTCTTGCAAATCGTGACTAATTTGCAAAAGAACTTCCTTGGTCTCATTCTCTTTTTACTACTTTCTTATTTTCTTTAAAAATTCCAGGGCAATAATTTATTTAATAGGACCTGATGCAGATGGTGCATTTTGTCTGAGATCTTGGCACTGGCTGTGGGCAGGAGGAATCTCATATTTTCACGTCAGCTCCCCTCCTGAGCCTTGTTTATCAGGGGGCTCCTGAAGTGACAGGCACAATAGGGCTGTTTGTACTCCAAATTATCTGCAGGGAAGGTGGCAGAGACCTGGCAGTGAGCAGAGGGACAATAAATTCCCTTCCAAAGGAGGCTCCACCCCGGCACTGCTCTGAAAGGTGATGGTTTTTCCAGTGCAACCTGGAAAAAAGGCAGGAATTAAAATCCTGCTTGACAGCATTGTCATCGATGCCTTGCTACAGAACCACGCTGTGATACCCAGTGTGGCCCCCACATCAACTGATATTATTTGTGACATTCCAGCTGGGGAGGGGATACCCAGGCTGAACCTGCTTTAAAGCATGGATGGAGTGAAGCCAGACAGGTGTGGTGGGAATGAGACATCCATGGATCTCTGTTCCACTCTGCATAAAACCCAGCAGGGGTTCAGTTCTCTCTCACACAAGAACTCATCTCACAAATGCAATGGGTAGGGAGGTACAGGGGGCTATAAAACCTCCTGACCCCCGTGGGGTCTCCAGCTCCCCACTGGGAAAAATGAAAAATTAAAAATGGAAAATGGTGAAACCATCTCTACCCCAGAAAAGAGTGCTATGGGTCCAGACACAGGGTCAAGTAAAATAATTCTGCCAAAAAATAAAATACTGCCCTTGACTGTCTAATAGGTGGAAATTGGCTTCACCTCTCTTCTCTGATACACATTCCCTTGTTTACTCATCTCAAAAATATTCCTGGGAAAACAGCCTTGGAGAGTAGGTAATATAAAGAGATACTAAAAACCCCAACATAGCTCTGAAGGACAGCCATTCCTAAGCCCCATCACTGGCATGGCCCAGACAGTTCCATTTCTGCCCAACTCCAAGCCTGTGTCACATCTAAATCAAGAGGAAAGCAATGAGATTTGGCTTAAAATGCCGATTTCTGAGAGAGAAATGCAGCTTTTGGAATCAGCAGAATTATCCATGAGCAAATCCCCTTTTTATTGCATCAGAAACCTGTAGGAAAAGGAATAGTTTTGTAGGGATAAAATTAAATAATTTCAGTGTTCACATCTCCATGGTGCCCCTGATAAGCGAGACAACGAAGATCTGCGAAAGCTGAACTTTTTCTTCATTTCTCTGTTTGTTTTTTTCTTTTTTTTCTGTCAAGGCATAACTTTTTGTTAGCAAGGTGTGTGAAATGAAGAGGAATCCTTTGAGCTCGGGAGCTGTTACACTTTGGAGTGCTCAACCTGCCCCAGCCCCAGCAGAGATGGTGATTTCATGCAATTATTATCCCCCACGCCACACAGGCATGAGCGCCCGGTCCGGGAGCAGAACAGCAAACTCATCATGCCCTATTTAGCAAAATGTTCAGTGCCAACGTGAAATTCTGACCCTCACATTTTATTAAAAGGATTATATCTTAAAGCAAACTATTTCAGTCCTTCGCTAGCTTCTCCCTGGGAAAACTTTCAAGACAATTTTCAGGACCGTGGCAGGATCAAGATGAAACAGTTCTGCTTTTCCATCTTATTTCTTCCAGCTCAGATCCGCTCCTTCCTCCGGTGTGTCCTGCCTCGTGGTGTAATTCTCGGTTTGCAGAGGAAGCATCCTTTCCCGTGAGCTCATCTTGCTTTTAAATTAACATGGGCATTTAAACAGCTTTGGGGATAGCTCTGTGGTGGAGATGGACTCAAACACGGAGCTGGGAGGTCTCCACCAGGTGCAAGGTGCTCCCAGCAGGTCACCTGCACTGCTTGGGAAACCAGAAAAAAACTCTTTAAGGCCAGTGGTGCTAGGAAGGCAATTTTCCCCCAGCTTGGGTTTGTATCCATTCTGGTTAATCATAAAAATATACTGTTCCTATTGTATGGGATTGCATATGGATGTAGCAGGGAAGGGGGGCCCCATGTTGGGGTAGATTTGATAGAACAGCTTTGTGTCAAATGAATAGGTAGGTTTATTATAGACTTCCCTTGCTCCAAGCTTCAGATGAGAGAAATCCTATAATCCCGCCCTGCTTTAATACTGGATTAATGTGGATTTGTTAATAAAATGCTAGTGAAATCGAGAATAATTTGTAATTAACTCAAACTTCTACTCCCCGCATCATTTTGAATATTTTTTAATAGAGATGAGGGACAGTTTCTGCGGCAGCACGCACTCCAACAGAGCAGAGTGAGTGGGAATCCTGCTGCAAAAAGCCAGAAACCACTGCACCAACTGGAGCTCGTGGCAGAGGAAACTCTACCCAGGCAGTGCAGCACACCAGCCACAGCTCTGCTGACCTCGGGACCAAATTCTGTCACCAAGGGCTGCTCAGATCCAAGGTGTAAACGCTTCTGGGGGTAAAATCCAAACCATTGACCCCAAAACAAGGAGTACACAAACACAGGTGTAACAACAAGCAAGTGCCATATGAACAGTGCAGGAAGTACTGAGCAGGTGTGGCAGGTGGAGAGCTGCAGCATTAACCCTGCCCAGTGGTACCCCCTCAAAGCATGGAAACACCCTGCTCTGTGAAGATGGATTTCAGACAAGATCCTTTTCTGATCTAAAATCAGAAATTGAGGATTTATTTGTCCCAACAGCTGGAGTGTAAGGCCGTCCATCTCCAAATCCTGCCTCTTGCAATGGTGCAAAGATGAACTGAAATGACTCCTTTGTTCAAAGATGACCATGCCATGAGGTAGGAGAAAGGTAAAAGAGTGAGACATGGAAAAGGCAATTTTAGCCTGGGTAATTATGGGAAAGGTTTGCATCCAATCAAGTTAATCACAAAAATGTCCTGGTTATCCTGTTATATAGGGTAGCACAGGTCTGCTTCTCATAAAACAGTGGGGCAGGAGAGGGACCAGAGGTGGAGATGGGATGGTCTTCAAGGAACCACTGGGAGGATTTGTCTTCATTAGACAGAGACCAGCTATGTCCCTGGTCTGGATCCATGGGACAAGGACAATGGGTTGAGGGTCAAAAAGGCCAAGTGCTGGGTCTGCACTTGGGTCACACCAACCCCATGGAATGCTCAAGGTTTGGGGCAGAGTGGCTGGAAAGCTGGGAAAGGCCCTGGAGGTGCTGGTGACAGCAGCTGGACACGAGCCCAGGTGTGCCCAGGTGGGCAAGAGGCCGATGGCCCCTGGGCTGTCCCAGCCATGGTGTGTCCAGCAGGCCCAGGGCAGGGACTGTCCCTCTGTGCTGGGACCTGTGAGGCTCCTCCAGCCCTGGGGACAGCTCTGGGCCCTCACAGCAAGAGAGACATCGAGGGGCTGGAGTGTGTCTGGAGAAGGGAACAGAGCTGGGGAAGGGCTGGAGAGGCTGAGGGAGCTGGGAAAGGGGCTGAGCCTGGAGAAAAGGAGGCTCAGGGGGAACCTTCTGGCTCTGCACAACTCCCTGACAGGAGGGGACAGCTGGGGAGGGTCGGGCTCTGCTCCCAGGGAATAGGGACAGGAGGAGAGGAAACAGCCTCAAGTTGTGGAGGTGAGGCTCAGGTTGGACATCAGGAGAAATTTCTTCCTGGAAAGGGTGGCCAGGCATTGGAAGGGGCTGCCCAGGGAGGTTTGGAGTCCCCATCAATGCAGGTGTCCAAGGAACACCTGGACATGGCACTGAGTGCTCTGGTAACAAGATGGGGATCAGGCACAGCTTGGATTTGATGATCTTGGACATTTTTCCAGCCTCAATGATTCTGGGATTCTGTGAGAAGGTGTCATTTAGTTTTCCATGGCAAAACCAACTCCAATCAATCAATCAATCAATCAATCAATCAATCTCTCTGACAGGGAGCCAGACACACCCAGCACGAGTGACACCCAAACAGGTGCTCCAGAGAAAACCAAGGAAAATCCCCTTCCCACTCTAAGCCTGACAGTGTCAATTGGTATCTCAGGTTGGAATTTACAGTGTTAACCATCAGTGGCTCTCATTTGAGCCTGGCTTTGACCACTTCGCCTGGAGCTCTTATCTCCACCTGCCCTCGCCTGCAGAGCAGCACTTTGGAATCTTCCCAATCATTGACCCTCTCCTTGGATCAGGCTCACTTTACTGTCAGGTCAGCAGTGAAAAATCCCAGGAGAGAAGCATCTGTCCTTCCTTGTCCTCAGCTCTGGGCACAGCCAGCTGCCAGTGCTGGATAACAAAAATAAAGAGGACTTTTATCCTCTAGGTGAACTCTTTTAAAGGACTCCTAACCTATAGTTAAGTCTTGGTGTTCAAGGGAGGATCTGTTTCATCTTGGACTCTGTTTCTCTGTTTCTTCCATGGCTTTTTTTTTTTTTTTTTTTCCAGGCTGGACACATTTTACAGCCCAGCAGGAATGTTTTAAAGGGAATGATGTGCAGTGCAAAGCTCAGTGATACCCAGCAGCTCCTTTCCCCACTCAGTTTATAAACTCCTGGCCAGCTGACCCGCCACTTTGGGCACCACCTCACTTCAATTATGTCTTTACCCTGTTCCAGCTGCTATTTCAGCAAGTTTGCTCCTCCTTTGGGGGAGAGTCCATTCAACTTGATGTACCTTTCTTTAAGCTATTGAGAAAGGTCTGTATTTCAGTGGTGAGCCTGCTGTGACATTCCTTGATGGTGTCCTAAACTGCTTGGAGCTTGAATTGGTAAGGAAATACCAACCTATCCTAAAAGACTGTGTGTGCTCCAGCCTGTCCATGGGCCTGCCTGAGATCCTTCTGCCCCAGGCTTTGCTGCAGAATTCCCCTGGGGATCCCAGAGGATATTGTCAGATACCACACAGGCCTGTACAGCTGCCTTCCAAGGCCTTTCACTAATTCCCTGCCATTAATTGGTGATATCTGAATTTTTTACTGCATGGGAACAAGATGCCTTGAGAAACTGCACCCTGTGTTCAGACCTGCATACACCCATCAACTATTCAGAAAGGTCAAAAAGTCCTCGACTTGTTAATTCTGGACCTTGGCAGGACCGAAAGTGGATAGAAACCATTCTGTTAAGTGCTGTAGAGCTCTCTCCTCCTCAGGGAACTCAGGGAACAAACCACTTGGCACCTAGCTGATCTCTGCTTTCATTTGTGTCCCCGGTGACTCATTGTGCCTTGAGGTTAAATGAGGTATTTGTGTCTCTCAAGTCCATCTGCAGTCTCACCATTTAATTTGGACCATTCTTCCATGCACCTTTGTTGTCTGCATTCATCATGCTTTTGTTATGTGCTGGGTTGTGGTTTTATTCCCCTTTCCCTTCTGGCCCGTGGATGGAAGTCTTTGTCTAAGACTACATTTTGAAAGGTTTGGAGTTTGGACAGTATCGTGAGTGTCAGAAGTGCTTCCTCTTGAAAAGAGAGGCTTTGTGTAGAGAGACCTCAATAACCTTTTATTAAACCAACAGTTGGAAGAAATGGACAAGTGTTCAGGAGTATGAGCCCCTTTGTACCTCTCCAAAATTCACATTCTCTTTAGAACACCTTGCTTGAAACAGCATTTACACAAAACCCTCTCACTCTGCTGAGAGACAATTTCATAAAATCACAGAGTTGTTTAGTTTGGAAAAGCTCTCAAAGATCGTCGAGTCAAACCATTCTCACAGCACTGCCAAGCCCAGGACCAGTCCTTGTCCCCAAGTGCCACATGCACATGGCTTTTGAATCCCTCCAGGGATGGGGACTCCACCCCTGCCCTGAGCAGCTGGATCAGGGCTGGAGAGTGCTTTTGGGGAAGAAATTTTTCCTAATATCCAACCTGAACCTCCCCTGTCACAGCTTAGGGCTGTTTCCC